CTCCAGCTCTTGGGCTTAGGCGATTCTCTTGCCTCAGCCTCTTGAGTAGCTGGGACTACAGGCACCTGCCACAACACCCAGCTTTTTTTTTTGCTTTGCAGTGTTGCCACCCTACTCACTGAGCCACAGGCGCCACTCAGCACTGGGCTACTTTTTAGAGGCAGGGTCTCGCTCTTGGTCAGGCTGGTCTCAAACCTGTGAGCTCAGGCAATCCACTCACCTTGACCACCCAGAGTACTAGGATTACAGGCATGAGCCACCGCGCCCAGCCTCTCTCTTCATTTTTGACAAATGGGATTCCTCTTCCTTTGTTTTAAACTGTGTGCTTTGTTAGTTTATTTGGAATATTTACTGCAAAGAAAATTCTGACCACTCTATATTGGTAGCCATTTCCCACACTGAATTCAACAGTGGACAAGAGCATAAGCCAAGCTCAGCCTGTGGTCAAGATAGGGTCAAGGATCAGATTTTAAGTACGGTTAAGTATAATTCCAGGAGTTTGGGTAAAGCTTTTTTATATGAGTAACATAGAGCCAAGACTGAAGCCAGGGCTGGGGCTCAGCCTAGAACCACAATCAAGGCCATTCCTGTAACCAGGACTTGGTCAGAACTCAGCTTAGTATCAAAGTCAGGGTTCCTTCTGTGACTACAGCCACAGAAGGAAAGAACATGTCAACTGTTACAGATAGTATAACATGCCCATGATAATGCTGTTGATGGTTGGGGCGTACAACAAGGCTGTTAATGGTCACGTGTATTAGCACATTCCTACGAGGAAGATAATGGTCTCATGTACTGGCACATGCCCATGAAGAGGCTATTAACTGTCACATGTCAGGACATGGTCAAGGGAATCTGCACATGCCCATAATTAAGCTATTAGTGGAAAAACTGAGACTATGCCCCCAATGTGCCCCATCAAAGCCCAACACACTCTTGCTTACCTCCTGTAGCTCACAGGCTGTCCCAATATCCTACCAGTAGTGCTCAACTGAGGAGCCCTGTGAGGTCAGGGCTGTTTAACCCATTTAACCAATGAACAGGCCATCAAGAGAATAAAATAAACAAAAAGATGACACCACCAGCACTTGGTAGGGCTGGAAGCAGACCCTGGGTCACCTCATTACTGCTCTTTCTCACTTGTATGCACAAAAGTAGAGTCAAAGCAGAGATGTGGAAAGCCAGAGGCAGCACATGCACCCACATGCAAACACACAGGCAGGCCAGACTCCACTCCCCAGTCACCTGTCTAGCCATCCCACTATCTATCTCCAGTCTCTCAGCCCTTCAACCCTCACCCTTTCTGAATCCAACATCCACCTTACCCTACAGGCACCAAATTTCCCAAAGCTCTAGCTCCATCCCTTTACCTCTGATCTGCCTGCCAGACATTTGTCCATCTGCCCTCCTTCCCCTCCATCTCTGCCTGGCTTTAGCCCCAGCTCAGTCCCCTGTCCTCCCACTGCCTCTGTCCATTGTACCCCAGACTGCTCATCCTGGGTGGTCTACCCATTGTCCACCCTCAATGCCAACCCCAATGCTCACCAAGTTCCTCAAGCTCAGCTGTCATGGACTTGGAACGCAGGGTCAGTGTGGTGCTGGGGGCCCTCTTGGGGGGTGGCGGGGCTGCAAAGAAGAGGGAGGCCTTGGACCTCCTGTCCAACAGCAGACGGCGCGGTGTGGCCAGATGCAGGTGCCACTTGCGCTCCACTGCCTGGATTTCCTCGTACTCCCTCGAGGATGAGTCGCACTGAGCCAAGATCTTGTTCAGGCTGCGGCTGGACGCAAACTTCTTCATGGCGCAAGGAGTTTGGGGAGTACTGGGGGCTGAGGTGGCCGGGGCCCCAAGGGCCCTCAAGACCTCCCAGAGCCAGGGCCTCAGTCGACAGTCAAGGGTATGCCAGTAGGGGGTCACGGTGCTGGCTAGCTCTGGCCTGAACACCCACCCTACAGGCTCCAAGGGCCCAGGGAGGGGGCAATAGACCCATGGGGGGGCTGGGAGTGGTTTGCTGGCAGGCCAGGCTCCTGCTGCTTCAGGGTCCCCCCAGGCCCAGGTGGCCACTGCCCCGTGGGGGGACCAGGGTGTGGTCAGCCAAGCTACAGGCCTGGGCTGTGCTGGCCGGCAAGCCTCCTGGGCCCAAGCTGTGCCGCGGCGTCGGCGCGGGGAGAAGACGCTTTTCCTCTTCCCTCAGGTGCCGCCTCCCCCTTCCCTCCGACAATAAGCAGCGCGGCAGCGTCAACCTCACAGTTGCTATGGCAACCCCGGCCTCCAGGCAGCTGCTGGCAGTGTAGGGAAGGAGGGCTCTGCCATGCCAGGGGCTGGGGGGGAATGCCGGGAAGGAGGGGGCAGGGATCTGAGAAGGGGCAACCTGGGGTCAGGGGTCAGAGGCCTCAGGCCAGGAGACAGGGTTGACAGTCTAATATCAGGGATGGAGAAGGACCCCTGAGTCATGTATGAGAGCATTTTGTCTAGCTTCAGAAATCTGATGTTAACAGACTGGGGTCAGAGGTGGGGAAAGTAATGTGGGCCTGAAGTCAAAGGTCAGGGGCCGGAGAGAGAGCCTGGGCGCAGAGGCCTGAAGCCTGACCCCTCACCTCTGCGCCGAGCCCCATCCTCTTCTGGCTTCCTTGTCACAGACACAACCTTCATGACAAGGCGGTTGCCACCCTGGCGAATCAGAGCCACCACTTGCTTGTGTCCAACTTTCACCACGTTCACTCCATTCACCTGGGACAGACAGGCAGCTAGGTGGGGATGCCCCCAGGTGCCTCCTCTCAGCATTCAGGGATCAGCACGTTGCAAGCTATGTAGGTCAGGACAGGCCTCACCTCAATGAGGAAGTCTCCAGTGCGCAGCCCCGCCCTCCAGGCGACACCCTCCACGTCCACAGACTCCAGGTACTGCAGTGCCGGAAAGGCCGGTGTGGGTGTGAACTCCTCAATGGGGGTCTCTGCTGTGGGGGGCAATCAAGAAAGTGCTTCACTAGCCTAGTTCGGGTGGGGGCAGTAGCCACACAGCCACTACCAAGAGGTTTAGCGTGTGAAGCAGATGACTTACAGGGACAGAGTAGCCAGGGATGGGGGAGGTCCACAGGAGGGGGCCACATAGGGCAAGGAAGAGCCAGCCCAGGACTCCAGGACATATCCCCCTGCAAAACTCCCCACTCGCTCCCCCAAGAAAGATCCCCCACCACTATGTTAGACACCCTACAACAGAAACAGTGGAAAACAGTGGAGAAGTTGCTGCCTTGACACTGTCACTACAAGAAGAGGAAGGGTGCAGCCAGGAGGGAGAACAGAGGAGAAGGGTAGACACCCAAGCAGTGTCCTGCCCCACTAGTGCCCACTGCCCATTACCTTTGGCTCCCCGGAGCACAAAGCCAAAGCCTTCGTGGTCCCGTTTCTGCAGGACAGCCACCTTGTCATCAATGACATAATCACTGACGAGGAAAGCAAGGAGAGATGAGGCAACCCCACAGGGTCCAAGAGGGTCACACAGGAACAGCCCACCCCAGGATTTTCCCTGGACTGATGAAGACAGTGGAGGATAGAGGAGTGCAGGATACCCTCTCTGCACCCTCCTCTGACCTCTTTGCACCTGGCCCCCTGGCCCAGCTCTTGGCTTTCCTTTATGTGGACACCCCACCCACAACCCCTCTGCATGCCCCAGCCAGTGCCCCTGCAGGTACCTGTGTGACGTGAGGCTGTCATAGGAGCCCACTGTGTAGTGGCGAAAAAGCCTCTTCGTCCGGTCCTCCCGGGTCTCTGAAGGGAGTGTCAGGAGCTGATAGACAGTCTTGGCCTCCAACTGGCCTGAACTACCCTCAACATGTTGATCACCAGTCTACACGCACACACATCCTTGGTCTGGTTATGCCCAAATGCAAGTGTGGGACCCCAACTCCTGGGGTCCTGGGTCCAAAAGTCCCAAACCAAGAACACTAAGAGGATCATGCAGGGAATTCTGGTTTCCTGGCTTAGAGTCCAAGAGCGAGCAGCAGTCCTGGCTCCTAAGTTGAATACAGGAGACCAGACAAGGCCAGGGCTATCCATAGAGAGGGTCAGTGAGCCCAAGGGTGAGAGCCAAGAATGAGGTATATACGTGTCTGACTGCATGTATGACCTGCAGTCATGTGTAAATGCACACATGGGCCCATGGTCCTATGCAAGGGCTGTGCTCACAAATGTGTGAGTTCTGTGTTCATGCATATGCACATCTGTGTATGTATGATGCACACCCATGAACAACTGTCATGCTGTATACCCACATGCAATGGCATGGAAGTGGGATTGTGTATTCAATAAATTCCTTACAACAGATCCCTGATACTCAACCTCAAGGGGTCCCTTGCTTCAGATCCCACCTGAATGGGGCAGGGTGTGCAGGTGTGAGGGGCTTAGTCCTCTTCCCTGACTTTACTATATCCCCCAGAACTTTGTCTCCATCTGTTCTCTTGATCTCAAACTCCCTCATGACCACTGTGAGCTAGACAGATGTCTGCCCACTGGTCCACCCTCTAACCTCCACACCTCCAGCCATGACCTCTCTGCACCCCATGGGCTCCTACAGCAGCCTGTAGACCCTAGACTCCTGGCTTCCAGGCATATCTTAATCCCTCCTTCAGGACCTCCAAGGTGGCACCACCACTGCCTCAAATTCCTCCTATTGTAGTGTTCTTTCCTTCAAGAAGTATTATTGAGTTCCTACTATGTATCAAGCATGGTTTGTCTTAGCCTTTGGGAATATAACAGAGAATAGAACAAAGTCTCTCCCTTGTGGACTTTAAAATCTATTCAGGGGAGAAAGAATAAACAAACAATAAATATACATATCAAATGCTAAAGAGAAAAAGCAAGCAGATTAAGGAGTACAGAGAAAGTTTGCCATTCTAGGGTGGTAGCCTGAAGACCTCGCCAGGAGGTAAGAGACGAGTAAAGGCTGAGGATGGAAGGGTGCAGCATGCAGCTCTGTGAGCAAAGGGCTTCATAGGAGAGGACAGTCAGGGTAAAGCCTGCAACAGGAGTTGGCCTGGAGCATTGGAAGAACAGTTTAGATCCTGTATAGCCAGAGCAGCAGGCAGGAAATGAGATCAGACAGGGAAGTGATCATGTTTTTTTTCTGTTTTGAGAAGGAGCCTCTCTCTGTCACCCAGCCTGAAGTGTGGTGGTGGTTATGGCTCACTGCAGCCTCCCATTCTTGGGCTTAAGCAATCCTCCCACCGTGGCCTCCCAAAGTACTAGGATCACAAGCATAAGCCACCATACCCAGCCAGGAAACCTACGATTTTTAATGACCTGTTTCCCCCACTAATTGTGAGCTCCTTAAAGGTAAGGACCACATATTATTTATCTCTGTGATCCCAGCACCCAACACAGCACTGGACACATGACTGGTACCCTCAGGCTGACTGGGAGGGGGATGGGGCATGGGTCTGTGATAGAAGGACAGATCAAAAGGTAAATGGATAGATGGAAGGAGGGAAGGAGCAAGACGGGTATGTAAGGATAGGTCAAAGGGTAGAGAGATACATGAGTGGATGGATGGATGGATGGATGGGCTGGGTAGGTAGACAGGTAGCTGTGCAGGTAGAGACAGATTGATGAATGAATGGATGGATGGAAGAAAGGAGGGGTTGGTGTGCTGGCATGGCTGAGTATGTCAATGGATGAGTGGATGGGTGTTGGGATAGGTCGGTGAGCCGAAGGAGAGACAGATACAAGCATAGATGGAACAGTGGCTGGGTGAAAGGAAGAGCTCCTAGTCACATCGGAAGACACATTCACCAAGAACAGCACTGGACTGGATTCCAGGTCCCTGCCACTAACTTGTGTGACTCTCAGTAAGTCCCTTTTGAGCCCTCCTTATAGAGCAGGAAAATTCACCTTGGAGAGTCCCTTGGGTTCCGACAACCTATTATTTTATCATCCTGGCCGCCCTAACCACATCTGCACCCACCACCCTGCCACCCCGTAGGCCAGCTCAGGCCAAGTACTGTACAGGTGGGGCTTCAGACCTCCTCCTTGCCTCCACCTGTACCGTTCTACATGTCAACCCAGCCACAGAAATACTCACAAGGCCTGTCTGCAGAACCCCAAACTTATAGTTCACTAGCTGCCTGTTTTTAGATTTTGTCAACCAAACAAATTTTATTTATTCCATAGCACAAATTCATTTCCCAGTTTTATTAATCAGACACATCAAAGTCAGCTGAAATGAAAACACCCAGCACAACACCCTGAAGTGACAACCATACAAGAGAAAGGGAGGGATAACAGAGGATCCCATTCACTCTGCTGGTTCCTGCACAAACCCGCCTCCAGAGCACACCTTACTTCACCAAAGCATTCCTGCCCCTCACAGCACCACCTTCTACCTGCCAGGCTCCTTCAATCCCTACTCTGGAGGCATCATGGGAGGTCTGCTCTTTGCTGGGTGACCCGGGGCACCAGCCCAGCCTGCATGCATGGGTGATGAACACTTGGCCTTAAGTCCTTCTCTACCCCCTCTCCAGCCCCAGAAAGAAAGATTTCTTTTTTTGATGTGAGCCTATTGGAAGTAGGTTCCTGTTCCTGGGCTGCCCTCTGGCCTGTGGGAGAACTTGGCCCCCAGGACCCAGAACAGATGTTCCACCCAGAGCAGCTAGCTAAGCCTGCAGCTACAGTCCGGGAAGGCTGTTACTGCTCCTGGCCCCTGCAGACAGCCTCTGCAGGCCCCTCTCCCTCTGCCCAACCATGGAACACACCATCAGGCCACATGCCCCACAGCTGCTGCCCCATCCAAGAGCCCAGCACTCATCCTACACTGGCTGTCTGCAACCTCAGCCCACCCTGCCCACTTTCTTCCCCATCTGCCTCAACCCCAACCCTTTTTCTCTTCCCACACAAAGCCATGCTCCCCCCAACCCCATGCTAGCCTTGCTAACCCTCACCCTATGCGTGTATTTCATTCACACAGAGCTGACTGCCTATGCCACGCATATGACTCTATTCCCTCAGGGCCATGTGATTCCCATTTCTAAATGAACTAACAACTATCCCCATCTCTCAGGACTGCTTGGAAGGGTTAACAACTTCTAGGTAAAAGTGTTAACACCATGCCTGGTACCCCAATGCTACTCAGCAAGAAAAGTGCTGACACAAAGCTCTAGAATATTATGCCAGGCCCTACAAACATGGGCTCCCCTCATCCCATCTGCTAACCATCTAGAGGACTCAAAGCCCCTCTCCACTGCCCACATTCATGTGTTTGTTATAACCACTGGGCAAGCCCACTCTCTTCTAGACATGAGCCAGGCCTCTGTGATCCCAGCTCCCAGCACAGGGTCTAGCACACAGCAAATACCTAACAAACATTTGCTACTCCCAAGTTCTGACTCTTGCCTAACCCTCCCCTTCCCAGCTTCAGACTTAGATCCTAATGCCCCTAGATCCACAGTCCTCAAACCAGGACCTGCATGACCCATCACAGTAAGAGCTGAGGACCATCTCCTATGACAGGAAGGAATCTTCATCACTCCTCCCCATCTCATCCTGTTGGAACCAGGCCCCAAACCTCTGAAATCATTTCCCACCTCAATCCCACCCCATCCCTCAATAGGCAGAGAACCAGGATGCCCAGTCCCTTCCACAATCTGAGCCACCAGGAGAGCCATCCCAGTGAGGTGGCAGACAGCCAAATGAAGGGGTAAAGCACCCCTTGCCCAGGGGTGAGTTGGTGGCTAAGCTTCTGCCTCCCTGGGCCTTTGCTGAGCTCAGCACAGGGCAGGGGTCCAGGCCATAGTGCTGGGCTCCCATAGGAAATGCACAGCCTGGGAAAAGGGACACAACAACTCCAGGCCCAAGTCTTTCACATGCAGAGGTAGTTATGCATGCATTCTTGATCCACACACACCCCTGACCACCAACAGTAATCTCACTCAGGACAGGTTTACTTGCCCCACCAGTCCCCAAGTCTGGGGGCCTCCAAAGGACCATCCACTGCTTTCACCATCAGGACCCCTCACATCCTGACACACAGAAGGATCCTTCCTGGAAGCCCAAGTGGTCAGCATGGTTACATTGTAGTTGCTCACCAACCTAGGAGCTGCAGCCTTCATCCTCATGTCCTTCCTGCAGGCTGAGAATGCAGCCCATCTTTCACCTGCTGCCCTCAGACCATTCCTGCCCCATGGTACCCATGAGAGCCCCTCCAGGACCAACTGGCCTCATTTCCTCCTGGCTGGTCCAGGCCTCCCTGCTCTGCCCACTTGGACAATCTGTCCAATTTGGAAAAACGCCTCTTTTCTCACACTGACCTCCTTACTTGTCCGCCAGCCACACAGGAACCGCGCACTCCATGCACCTGGTGCTTCTGTGAGCACCAAGCTGGAGGGGTGGCTACAGTCACTGGCAGGGACCACACAGAGGCACAGTCATGGGTATGCAACCTCCTGTAGTGACATCACATGCATCACATGCATTGAACATCAAGTGTCTGATTACCGTACTACTGTTCATAAGTATGTGCACAATGTGTGAAACATTGTATCTGTGTTGTATACACAAGCGTTTGTCTACTTTAAGTGTGTCTGAGTTTACGTCTCATCTTTTCTCTGTGAACATCTATGTGGATTTAACATCAAGAAAAACCAAAAAGAAACTCGAAGAGGTGGTGCCCCTCGGAAGCTACCTAGGGGGACGTGGGTCACTCACCATGTCGTGTGTCATATTGTCTCATCTGCACTTCCTCCACGCAGTCAGCCGGGAACCAGCCTGTACGGCCCTTCACGGTTCCCTCCCAGAAACCGCCCTCCCCAATGCTGAGCACTGGAGGAACAGAAGCCAGATGGGCTGTTAGGGGGGAGCAGAGCAACTGGGCACCCACCCCCAGCCAACCTCAGGCTCAGGTTCTGCCCACCCCACACCCTTTCTCCTTCCCTTCCCACATTCTCCTATCTTTCTTGGGAAGATGCTGGGATCCACACAGCAGAGAGAAACAAACAGATGGGCTCAGCATAGGACAGGCATGTGGAGGACAGAGAGCCACGCAGATGGACACACTCAAGGAGGGGCAGGAGGCAGAGGCCAGGGCCACACTCCTGCTTCTGCCCCTCAGCTGACCACTTCCCCAACTAACCCCCATCTTGGCTCTGTCACCCACCCAGGGGTCACTGCTAAGAGTTCAGGGTCTTCATGCTGTGGCCAGTGGACTGGGCCACAGATATATCAGAAGGGCTGATCCTCACAAGTCTGCTTCTACCTCAGGCTCCTATGGACATGGGCACCCCCAGGGACAGCACCCCAGTGATGACAGAGACCCCCAGAATGAGAGGAACCTGTTATGGCACAGAAGCTCTAGTGACAGAAACCTGCATGACACACAAACGCCCATGTAATTGCCACAGATGTCCCCCACACTGGCAAGGGTTCCCACGCCACAAGGATTTCCGAGGAAAAAGTACAGCAGTGACACAGGAATCCCATAACACAAGGAAGCTCTGTAATGGGGCAGGGTCCTTCAGAGACCCCCAGTGACATCAGCCCCCATCACGACACAGAAACAGTCCTCTGACAGAAGAGGAGTCGCTATCACTATCGTGACACAGGGAGTCCATAACAACACAGCATCGAGAGGGAGGCACAAGACAGGAGATCCTGCCAGAGCCCTTCGTAGTGACACAAGAAATCCCCAGTGGGGCACCCCCACAATGAGCAGCAGCCCTTCTGCTATAGCTCAGGACTGGGACCACTGTACCCCTAGAGCCGCGCCGTGCCCCTCCCCGCGGCGCACCCCCCGCGGCCCCGCCCCCTGCGCCCCCTCACCCTTCACGGCCTCGCCGCGGTGCAGTGGGATCTCGCCCTCGCCCTGCGGGTTGTGCGCCTTCACAGCGATGAACTTACGACCGGGGACTGCACTGTAAAGTTTCCGCTTCGGGCCCCGAGGCGGCGGGGCCGGGGACGCAGGGGG